AAACATATACGTTACATGACCTCTAGACTTAATGATGATGTAACTCAAGAGATAAATTTGTAAAATCTATTTGTCTTTTAGATATCACAAAAGGTTTCACATTGGCTTTTAGTTATCGTTTTACTTTTATTGCTACATTATACTATTTAACATAAATGTTTTCCTTCTTGTATATTGTTAATATATCCTACATAATTATGTCAATCTGCTAAATTACATGAAACATTGCTCGTCTTCAATTATAGTCATTATCACCAAAATAAATAAACAAAGTTGTGAACTTTTCTTACTTTTTTTTTTTAATTTCTACATTGTAACGTCCATTATAAAAGGCGAGTATAAAAAAAAGTTAGATTGATTTCTAAATTGATTCAAACTTCTAAAGAAATCTAAAAAAATGTCAAATTACATATAAGCCTTCTAAACATCAAAAGGTTTCATTTTTTACTTTTATTTTTTTCCTAGTAAATATTACCCAACAAAAAAAAAATTATTTTGAAGAAGAAATAAATATCTTAATAGCTATGTGTCACGACCCGCCAGATACCCCGGCAGATCGCGACCCGTCCAGGCAGCCAGCAGCAGGCGCAAGGGGCAGACTGCCCAAGCAGGCCAGCAGGCAAAGGGGTAGGCAGCAGTTGGAGGGGCAACCGTTTCAGCAGTTTCAGCTGTTACAACAATCAATGGGGCGGCAGTTTCAAGCCTTGGAGAGGCTTGGCAGAACGTGGGGCAGACTAGTCAAGGCTAGGAGTCCCTTTTTGGAAGACTTAGGAGTCATGCCTTGAGTGCATGAACATAGGGGCTTGTATAGTTGTATTTATTTACTCTTAGTGGTTAGAGTAGTATAAATAGTAGGGTCATTGTATTTTGTAAAGCATCCAACAATTCATTGACTAATAATATACTAGTCCATTCTTCCAAATTCTGTCTTTGTTTTCTCTTTCTAAGTTCTCTTAGCGATCCAAGTAGAGGAAGACTTACTTGAGTCTACAAGATCGTGCAAGAATCGTGAGTAGACCGTCAAGTGCCGCACGGAGTATTGTCCGATTCGAGAAGTCCGTGACATATGACTGATTAATTGAAAAGTATAAGGCTATAGAAGAATGTGGTACAATGAATTATAAGAGATCGAATTTCTTGCAATTAGAGACTTTTATTTTAAGTGACAGATATCGACAAGTCTTTTTGAAAAGAAATACTTCAATCAAATGGACTTTAGAAATGATAATCTCATTAATCAAATTTTAAAACAGATATTAAACATCGATAAATAAATAAATATATGAAAATGAAATGTATAAGTAAGTGCCCATGCCAATTCTCATGGTTCCACTTGGACTTGTTTAGCATTAGTGAAATCAATTTGAAAATGATATATACTTGGACTTCTTTAGCAGGGAAATTAATTATTTTGGGGTCAAAAGTTTCAATTTTAGCTATGTATTCAACATGATTTGTCTTTTAAGATATGGTCAATTATTCAATCATAATATATATAACTTAAATTAGTAGAATGTAACAATAACTATATATCATTCACAAAATTTTATGGGCACCACTAGTTTCTAGTCATTAGTGTACAATTTTATGATCATTTTTCTTCATAATCAGAAATTTAAAATTTAAATTTCAAAAAGAAAATTACTAATAGAGAATTTATCCCAAGTAAGACTTTTAAGCTTGGGACATGTCCTCGTTTTTTCTGACATAAAATTAAATTAGTCTGACTCCAAAGGAACATAAAACAACACATGAAAAATAAAATAAACAATTGTATATACTTGGAACCTTCTATATCATGACTGATCCCTCCACTTAAAAAAAGAAATTAGAATGACTTAAAAGAAAGGGGATGAAAATGACAAAGGAAATAACTTGGGAGTAATGCTAAAAAAAAGGCAAATATACTCTATATATACACAATATACTATATATATAGTATAAGAGAAAGAACATGGAAGATACATTAATGTCTCCATGTCATTATCATCACATTTTAGTCTCTTAGAAGCTACTTCTTGCATCACAATTCTATATTGCTTTAATTTATTTTACACTCAAAAAAATCATAAATAGAAGATATAATTTATTAAGTTATCCTTATTTATTTAAAAAAAATAAAGAATCAAACACTATTAAAGAAAAAGTAAGCAATTTTTTAATTATGAAATAATTAAAATAATAATTATTTTTTATCTTAAATTTTTAAAACGATACGCATATTAAAATGATCGAAGTATTTTTTTTTACTGTGATCATATATGAAGAACGCTAAATTATAATTTTAAAAATAAAATATGACAACTAATATTAGACCGAAAAAGTAATTCAAACAACTAATTATTTTAATAAATGAAGTTGATTAAAAACATGTGTATTTTAATGTTTGTTTCCACCTTCTAGGAAATTAGAACCAAACATTTTGCAAATAAAAACAAATCCAAACGCGGTCTTCTTTGTCGGCAGTACATAATATATTACCCTTACTTCTACGTTTTATTACGTTATTTGCCATTTATAACTTGCGTACGCAATTTCCCTATAGTTTCGATTCTCTAATTACTTTTATGTATTATGTTTACAAATTAAATGCACGTTATGTTTATTTACGAGTAACGTCATATATCTTGTCTATGGCAAAGTCCGCGAGAAACTGAGTGGATTAGATCGGAATCATGATTATATATGATACTTGCTTGATAAATTTAGTTAAGAAATAAAATTACGTCTTTGCTGTCAGCTATAACTTTTGACATGATGATAACTGCTAAGTGCTTGATCTAATAAGTGGTATCAATACCAAGGTCGTAGACAGGTGTTTGGAGGTGGATGGTAAGCGCAATAGGCGTTTTGTCTCTATAAACAGATCCGTTGTCCGCATGTAATGCTAAAATTTTGATGATTTAATATACACTCGACGATATCATTATATTTAGAGATTTTGAACAAAATAGATTAATAAGATTAGAAAGGAACTATAAGTTTATGTATGAATTTAGTGGATTTCATAAATCTTAACTTGACTCAAATCTATCTAAAAAAAAATATTCTCTTATATTTATATGACTATAATTTATTCAGAATATATAATAAGTATAACAGTCTTTTGTAAAAGCTATAACTCCTAATTAATATTTAATTTTATAATAAGTGGTTAATATATTTAATATAAAGATTTTTTCCGACTGAAATATGCTTTACACCATTTACAAAAAATATAAATATAGAAGTGTTTTTACATTTAAAAAAAAAAGATATTATTGACGAAATATAATAGAAATATAGTTAGAGGTTATATTTAGAAACAAAAATAAAAATTAGAAACTGTAAAATCATAAATTAAAAATAAAATCAATAATTTATAATTTTTAACTACAATTACTCATAGTATCTATCGAACATGCAAATATTAAAATATTATTTATAGCATAAATTAGTTTGACTAATTTATAAATTCAACCAAATACACTTGAAAAATACAAATCTTTCACTTGTCGTTTTGGTTATTTAGTGGTAGCTAAGTGAAGCATACAAGTCAATTTTTTAGACATAGGATCACCAATTGGCAATTTCTAGTATAGTGTTTCAATTTTTCTAATTATTAATAATAAATAGAAAGCCATAAGTCAAAATTGGCTCCTAATAAATATGTGATACTTTTTTTTTTCTAGTTTCTATTTCATATATATATTTATATATAAAAGAAAAATATGATTATATTTTATACCATATCATGAGATTATTTGATTCAAAGATAAAAATTATGTTGGGATTGTCTTTTTAAAAAAAATCATTTTAATAAGATGACAGAGAAAAAATTAATCACGTTCATTCAAATTTAAATACTACGTGTGTTTATTTAATTTACTATTTTACTATGTTCTTAGAGTGCATATTTTACATCTTTACATATTTAATTGGATTGGTGAAAGTGTCAAAACAACATAGTTTGGACCTATTGCAAATGTTTAAATGATAATACAAATATTAAATTTCGTGTCAACTTTAAATATTTATATACATCTTTAACTGTTGTAAAAATATGTATTTTATTACAATTAATTTTGTACTTGATCAGTTATTCGACATATGCATGTAACAAACGTGTTAACAACTAACCAATTTAAATAAAAACAAAATTTAATCGTTTCACTCTACTTATAAAACGTATTATGAATTGACAGGGTAGGAGATAAACCTCATAATTCATTTGTAACTCTTAAAATATCACATGTCTTTATTTAATTCGCAGTCAATATATTTACACACTTTTTATATATTTGGTTAAATCATTACAAAGTGTCAAAATATTAGAATTAAACTCACCATATGTCTTTTAGTGACAGTAATCTTATTTGAGATATTCATCTCAAATTTCGTATCGACTTTAATTATCTACATAAACGTATGCTTTATTACTATTAATTTTATATATAAGTCTATTATTCAAACATATACATGCAAATACAATATACATGTTGAAAATTTATCCAAATAAAATAAAAATAATAATTTCACTCTACTAAAAAAAATATTATAAATTGATCGAAAAAAAAAGCTGAACTTATAAATTCAAATTTTAACCATTATTTTAAATTCAAATGTCACATTTTCATTTAATTCGTTATTTCGATATTTTATCGACGAATTATATATTTTTTACATAATTGATGAGTCAACAAAAATATCAAAATAACTATAATGTTTATGTAAAAATTGCTATCAATTTTAAATGTCTATCGTATGTACTCAAACTTATACTTCATTATTAATTAGTAATTTTATACATAATTATTTATTTGATATATACGTGCAACGCAAATACTCGGAAAAGATATTATGAAGTGATGTGAAAAAAAAAAAGGAGCAAATAAACAATGACTAGGAATTGACACTTCCCACGTGGTGTCATCAAACTATGGTCTACACTTTTTTTTTCAAGTAGTTATCTCCAAGAAACCAGCTCTTTATATTTCATCACAACTTTTTTCTCTCTCTTTATTGTAGATTTTTTCAATTAATTTGTTTGTTGACTGTATAATAAGCATAAAAAATTGTCAATACACTTTCATTTCTTCAGTCATCATAAAACAGAAGACCCCTTTTTTCCCCTTCTTCTCTTGTATTTGGCAGAAAAAGAAAAGTCCATTTGGAAAAAAGATCTTGAATTCATCAAAAAGATTCAATCTTTTTTATGAGGTTTGTTTTCTTATCTTGCTTTGTTTATTGGGTTTCTTAAATCTTGATTTTATTTGACTATTTGTAGTTGGTGTTGTTTGATTTTGTATGGAGCTTTTGATTAGTCTAATTGGTGATTTAATTGCTTATTATGTGTAAGTTCTTGACTTTGTTTATGAGTTTTGATTAATTTTGTGTTTAGTTGAATGGAAGGTTTGTTCTTTGCTTTTACTTTCTTGAATGGAAATTTTATGTTTCTATATATATGAAGTTTGGAGTTACTCTTGTTTTCCCTTTTTTTGGTTGGTGGGGCGGATTCAAGATTTGAACTTTATGTGTTAAAGTTTGAATTTTTATCTCAATTTATTTGATTTATAATGGAGTTACTCTTGTTTTCCCTTTTTTTGGTTGGTGGGGCGATTCAAGATTTGAACTTTATGTGTTCAAAGTTTGAATTTTTATCTCAATTTATTTGATTTATAATGGAGTTATTAGTTAAATGCAAGCTTTTGGCGTTGTTTATGGTTTAATTAAGTTAGTCTTGAAATCAAAGGTTTGTCCTTTGCTTACAGTTCTGGATGATAAGTTTCTGTGACTTTTGTATATATGAAGCTGTTCATTTGAAGTCCTTTTGTGGTGTGTGGGTGAAGGCGGATTTGAGATTTGAATTTATGGGTTGAAGTTCAATTTTTTATGACAATCTGTTTGATTTACTGCATTTGAAATTTATCACTTGTACTTGTATAGTGAATATTTTAACGCATATATAAGGTTTAAGCCAAAGCTACGGGGTTGAAATGAACTCGTACTTTTGTGTGCTGCATCTGCTCTTGTTTGTGGGGTGGGGCAGAGAGGGAGCTACATGATCAGGACTCAGAAGGGGTTCATTTAATTCCTGTTAGTTGGAAGAATATACCATGCGAATAGAGTAAATTTTAATCCCCTTTGAATTAGGAAGCTTTTAGTGTATTGCGTGTTCAAATCTTAGGTGTGACGTTCTTGTATTTTTAAAATTTTCCTTGTTAGAACCTTTTTTTAATTCCTCTTTATGTATATGCTAAATCTCGCTCTTTATGTTGGTCGGTAAGAGAGATATTGATATTGGTCCCATAGTATTGATTCCCCACTTTTGCTTATGTTAATTATTCTTGATCTTTATGTTTGGTCGATAAGATGGATGTCAATATTGATTCCTATCTTTTGCTTATGTCAATTATTCTTGATCTTTATGTTTGGTCGGTAAGATGGATGTCGATATTGATTCATATCTTTTTATATGTCAATTCTGCTCTTACACCTGTAAAGTAAATTTTTTCTGTCTTTTGAGTAGTTTAGTGACGCAGATGGGATTTTCGCCAAAGTTTCATCATCTACTGTATACATACAATAAAAAATAATGATAAAGGCTCTCTAGCTCTGACCCTGTAGTGGTCATTCATGTTTCTTCTTCATGGTATGAGAAAACATTTTAACATTAAGGATTTCTAGTCTGTGTTACCAATTTTTTCGGAAGGGTTTAAATTTTCTGTATTTGTTAGAAATTTGGTTGTGAGTTTGTCGCTGATATTGCTAACACTTCATTACGAAAATTTGATTGCTTGTGAATTAGAAAAATTGCTCATGAATAAAATAAAGATATGAGATGATTCGGCATACACGTGCACGTGCAAGATTATAATATTATTTCGACGTTTCCCAATCTGTAAAGTTAAAGATCGTATGGATAGCATGCACGTGCATGCTAAATCATGTCATATAATTTTCTAATAACACCTTCATCATTTCACTCTTCTTGGAAGTTTCAAAAAAAATCATTTCACTCTACTTGGAAAGAATATTGTGAACTGACGGGGCGACTATACAAATATTCAAAACATGAAGGTGTTTTTAGAAAACTATATGGCATGCTTCGCATACACGTGCACACACGTGCCAAAACACTAGCCTAAATAAAAACTAGAGTAGCCATTTCACTCTACTTGGAAAGAATAGTGTGAACTGACAAGGGAAAAAAAACATGATCACATAGACTATGAGTAGGAATAGAGACACTTCCCACGTGTTGCCAACAAACTGTGATCTACAATATTGCGGGAGGGCAAGTTCAAGTAGTTATCTCCAAGAAACCAGCCCTATATAAGAAGCACCCAAAACTCTCAGAGGTGATATCTTCAATCTTCTCTTGTATTTAGCAGAAAACAAAATTCTCTCTGGAAACAAAATCTTGAATTCATCAAAAAGACTTCAATCTTTTTAAGGTTCTTTGATTCTTTCCCTTTTGACTATTGGTACTAGCTAGATTTTAATTTTTTTTATGGAGTTTTGATTAGTCTATTTAGTGATTTTACTTCCTACAAAATGCAAGTTCTTAACTTTGTTTATCGTTTAATTAAGTTTCTGTTTTAATCTTGAAAATTAAAGGTCTCTTCTTTCTTTGCTTTTTGAATGGAAATTTTCTGTGACTTTTGTGTATATGAAGCTGATTATTTGAAGTTTCTCGTTTTGTTCTTTTCCTTTTGGTTTGTGGCAGAGACGATCCATGATTTGGCGCTGATTGTTCGCTTCCTATCTTTTTGTGTCTTCTTGCTCTTAATGTTGGAGTAAGAGGTTTTTGTCTTTTGAGTAGTTCGGTGGCGGAGGTAGGATTTTCATCTAGGGGTTTGTGGTTTATTATCTATATATGTGCACAAAGAAAACCATGTGACATGATTTGGCATACAAGTCAACAGGTGCTATACTAGTATGCTGTCTCTAAGTTTCCTAAGTCTGTGAAGTAAAGATAATATTTTTCAAAAATATATGACATGATTCTGCATAAACGTGCAACACACGTGCTGAGAAACTAGCGTAAATTAAAACAAGAATAATCGTTTCAGTCTCTCACCGCGGAATAGACACTTCCCATGTGGTGCCATCAAACTGTAGGCTACAATATTGGTGGAGGGGCAGTTCAATTAGATTCACCAAGAAATGATCCCTTTGTTTGACTATATAACAAGCACCAAAAACTTTCAGAAACCATAGCTTCAATCTTCTCTTGTATTTAGCAGAAAACGGAAGTCTCTCTGGAATTAAAAATCTTGAATTCATCAAAAAGACTAGGATCTTCTTAAGATTTGTAATACAATTTGATTCGACTGTTGTTTCTTCATAAAAAAGGCTCAAATCTTTTGAAAGTTCTTTGATTCTTGTTTCTCTTGGTACTAGCTAGTTTTTGATTTTGTATGGAGTTTTGATTCGTCTAAGTAGTGATTTAATCATTTAATTGCCTATTAAATACAAGTTCTTAACTTTGTTTATGGCTTAATTAAATTTATATTTCAATCTTGAAAATCAAAGGTTGTTTTTTGCTTTTTGAAAGAAAACTACATGACATGATTCGACTTACATGTGACACTGGTGCTGAGAAACTAATCTAAAATAAAGACAAGAATAATCATTGCACTCGACTTGGATAGAATATTGTGAACTGACTGGGGAAATGACCAAATAAACTATGACTAGTAATAGACACTTCCCCGGCAGTGTGTCTACAATATTGGTGGAGGGGCAGTTCAAGTAGTTATCTCCAAGAAACCAGTTCTATATATCAAGCACCAAAAACTTTCAGAGACCATTTCTTCAATCTTCTCTTGTATTTAGCAGAAAACAAGTGTCTCTCTGGAAAAAATATCTTGAATTCATAAAAAAACTTGATATTTGTAGGGTATGTAATACCATTTAGCTTGATTCTTTCTTCTTCATAAAAAAAGACTCAAATCTTTTGAAGATTCTTTTTGTTCTCGTCTCTCTTTGACTATTGATACAAGCATTAATTTTCATTTTTTACTTCATTTAGTAGTTGAAGATATTGAATTAATCTTGTAGTGCATTAGGCGGCATCTTTGCTTGCTCTTTTCTATCTTTTCAATAGAGTCTTCCCTCAATCAGGTACCTAAACCAACTTCATAGATTATCACTTTTCCTCCCTTTTGTTCCTCCCTTGATATGTCTGACGAATTAGAGGTCTACTTCTGAAGAGGTAAGGAATGTCTTTCTCCCCACTGTGTGTGTCTGTTGTTTCATCATATTTACCACAGTTCATATCGACATAGGCGTAGTATTTTGGTGAATGACTGGCCCTACAATGTGAGATATAAATCTCTATGCAGTTTGTGATGTTCTGATTTGATGAACTGTCCATTGTCTTTATGGTATTTGAACCTAGATGAATGATAATAGGCTCGACATGCTGTGTGTGGTATCTGTTTATTGTATTTGACAATGCACTGTTTTTACAATAGCTTTGTATTTAACATGTTATAGCAGTCAGCAGGTCTCAAAGTTACTGATCTCAAAACATGAAGGCAAATTTAGAAAATTATATGATATGATTCAGCATGCACGTGCACGCACGTGCCGAGAAACTAGTAGTCTAAATAAATGCAAGAGTAATCATTTCACTCTACTTGGAGAGAATATTGTGAACTGACAGACGACTATACAGAGAAGGTGTTTTTAGAAAACTATATGACATGCTTTGCATACCCGTGCGTGCACGTGCCAAAACAGTAGCCTAAATAAAAACTAGAGTAGTCATTTAACTCTACTTGGAAAGGACAGTGTGAACTGACAAGGGAAAAAAACATGAACAGATAGACTATGAGTAGGAATAGACACACTTCCCATGTGTTGCCAACAGACTGTGATCTACAATATTGCTGGAGGGCAAGTTCAAGTAGTTATCTCCAAGAAACCAGCCCTATATAAGAAGCACCCAAAACTCTCAGAGACCATTTCTTCAATTTTCACTTGTACTTCGCAGAAAACAAGTCTCTCTGGAATAAAAATTCTTGAATTCATCAGAAAGACTCGGATTTTCTTAATATTTGTAATACCATTTGATTTGATTCTTGCTTCTTCATAAAAAAGGCTCAAATCTTTTGAAGGTTCTTTGATTCTTGTTTCTCTGACTCTTTGTACTGGCTAGTTTTTGATTTTGTATGGAGTTTTGATTAGTCTGAGTAGTGATTTAATCATTTAATTGCCAATTAAATGCAAGTTCTTAACTTTGTTAATGGCTTAATTAAATTTCTGTTTTAATTTTGAAAGTCAAAAGTTTTTTTTTTTTTTGCTTTTTTAATGAAAACTATATGATATAATTCGACATACACGTGCGACACACGTGCTGAGAAACTAATCTAAAAGAATGACAGCTACCACGTGCTGTTTGTGATATCTGTTTATTGTATTTTACACTGCACAGTTTTTACAGTAGCTGTGTATTTTAACATGTTGTAGCAGCCAGCAGGTCTCAAACTTACTGATCGCAAAACATGAAGGCATTTTTAGAAATTATGTGACATGATTCAGCATACACGTGCACGCACCTGCCGAGATAGTAGTCTAAATAAATGCTAGAGTAATCATTTCACTCTACTTGGAAAGAATATTGTGAACTGACGGGACGACTATTCAAATAAGGTGTTTTTAGAAAACTATATGACATGCTTCGCATACGCGTGCGTTGCACGTGGCAAAACACTAGCCAAAATAAAAACTAGAGTAGTCATTTCACTCTACTTGGAAAGAATAGTGTGAACTGACAGGGGAAAAACATGAAGAAATAGACTATGAGTAGGAACAGAGACACTTCCCACGTGTTGCCAACAAACTGTGATCTACAATAATGCGGGAGGGCAAGTTCAAGTAATTATCTCCAAGAAACCAGCCCTATATAAGAAGCACCCAAACTCTCAGAGATGATATTTAGCAGAAAACAAAATTCTCTCTGGTAACAAAATCTTGAATTCATCAAAAAGACTTGTATTTTTTTAAGGTTATTTGATTCTTTCCCTTTGACTATTAGTACTAGATATAATTTTTTGTAGAGTTTTGGTTTGTCTAAGTAGTGGTTTAACTTCCTATGAAATGCAAGTTCTTAACTTTGTTTATCGTTTAATTAACTTTCTGTTTTAATCTTGACAATTAAAGGTTTCTTCTTTGCTTTTTGAATGGAAATTTTCTGTGACTTTTGTGTATATGAAGCTGATTATTTGAAGTTTCTCTTTTTTGTTCTCTCTTTTGGCTTGTGGCAGAGACGATCCATGATTTGATGCCTGATTATTTGCTTCCTATCTTTTTGTGTCTTCTTGCTCTTAAAGTTGGGAGTAAGAGGTTTTTGTCTTCTGTGTAGTCCGGTGATGGAGGTAGGATTTTCATCGAGGAGTTTGTGGTTGATTATCTATATATATGCATGAAGAAATAAGTGTTATTTTCCAATGAATGGTCCTGTAGATCTGCCCCCCCGAGTAGGCGATTCTTGTTTCTTCTTCAGGGTATGAGAAAATGTTCTACATTTGTTGGATGGATATGTTGTTTTCAATTTCATGAAAATAGTTTTTGTCTTTTCAGCCTTTTCCTCCTCCTTTTGAATCTGCTAATTTCCCTTAAGTTAACATAAAATTGATCCCACATGTTAAAGTCATTACTGTATTGATTAACTTTTCAGTAATTCATGATCTGAATATCCCAAGTTCGTCTTTTTCGTCTATTTCATATATATATATATATATATATATATATATATATATATATATATATATATATCTTTTTTGGTGGGTGGGTGGGTGGGGGGGGAGGGAGGGTGCAGGGTGCAGGGGGGGTGGTTGTGAATTTGAAGATCTTTTTTTTGTCTCTCTATTTTATGGAAATTTGATGTTAGGCTAGCAATTATTCAGATATCTGACAATTGGTTCTTTCTAGTATACTTTTCCATTTCTAAGTATACATATGAAGGAATGACTAATGAACTTGTTTTGAATTTTTAATACTTTTCTTGATAAGCTTGTGAATCTTTGGTAATTTTGTCACTTCATTTAATATTATTTTTTTTAATTACTTTATTTAGAAGTTACAGATAATGATAATGAATTTATCTTTATTAGCTGTCTTTCTTTTTCTTTTCTGGATGTGAGTTTGTTACATTTTATCTTTATCCAATTCTGTTTCCCTCAATTTGGCATCTAAAACCAACTTCATTAATTATTGCCTTTTGTTTTATCATTTGTTCTTTCCTTAATATGTCTGACTAATTTCACATTCTGGTTTAGAGGTAAAGATTGTCCTTCCCCCACTGTGTGTGTGTGTAATTTTATTCTTTTCACTTCTGTTCATATCGCCATACGTGTATTTTATTTGGTGAAGGGCCGTAGAACGTGAAATATAAATCTCTGTGGAGTTTGTGATGTTTTGATTGTATGAAACTGTCCATTGTCTTCGTGCTGGTTGTTGTATCTGTTTATTGGATTTAACACCACACTGACTTTAAGGTGGCTGTGTATTTTAAGATGTTGTAGCAGGCTTTTCTTGAGGTTACAGATCTCACTATTTGTTTGGCGTAAGTTCTTTTTTACACTGTCGGTCTATAGAAATTTGTTATTTTGCTGACACTTCTGATTCATACACTGTGATAAGAGGATGTGGATGCCTTCTTACTTGTGTTGGTGTGTCCTTTTCCGTCTGGTATACGTTGAGATTTTACATTTTTGTTCTTTGAAAAAGCTTCGTGGTTCTTTTAGTAGGAGTCTCCTGTTAGCCTTACTGCATTTTACCAAATTCTAGTTTCATCAAGTATACTGATTCATGATTTTTTTTGGCAGTTGGTTATGACATTCGACGTATCTGCTGAAAGCTTCTGAGACTTTGTGACTACTTTTAACGAAGAGACTTCGTTAGCTTGGAGCAGTTGTTCAGCATTTTAGCCAATTTGAAGAGAGTGCGTGACTGATCCCAATATGCGCGCATCCCAGATACCTCAATCATCAGGCGGAGTTCACAAGTTGTGCCATCAGCCAACGGCGAACTTTGAGCAATATTATAGCCCTTACCATGTAGTTAACAACAATTCCAGCGATACTAGCAGCTCGGGGACACAGCTCTCTTATCAGACACAGAATGATAAGTTTTTCACTCTTGACTCACTTCCTGATGCTGGTTACGTTAGCTATGATTCGCCTCCTGCTGTAAGCGTCTCGTCCAACTGGAGTCCGTTCTCTCCTCAGTGTTCTCAGTCGTACATATCGGATCAGCACCATTCCTCAGACAACACTTATGGTTCACCTTTGAGCGGGTGTTCAGTAATTAATGATGGGAATGAACTGAAGCATGTGCTAAGGGAGATGGCGAATAATTTGCTAGGGCCTGGTTTTGATATTGATGAAGACAGCAGTTGTTCTTTCAATGGTGAGGTCTCAAAACCTTCAAAGTGGAATCGCGTATTGGAAATTGCACCGAGCTTGGACATGAAAGAGCTGCTTCTTGCGTGTGCTGAAGCAATATCGGATGTCGAAGTCACAGCTAGAGATGCTCAGATGAATGTCTTAGAGCAAAAGGTATCGGATGCTGATGTGACAGCTAGAGATGCTCTGATGAATGTCTTGGAGCAAAAGGTATCAGTTTCCGGGGAACCTATGCAACGATTAAGCGCATACATGTTGGAAGGACTCAAAGCAAGAATATATTCTTCGGGAAGTAACATCTACAAAATGCTCAAGTGCAAGGAACCAACTGGTTCAGAATTGATCTCTTACATGCAAGTCCTCTATCACATCTGCCCCTACTACAGATTCGCTTACACATCCGCCAACGTTGTGATTGAAGAAGCCATGAGGAATGAGAGCAGAATCCATATAATTGATTTTCAAATTGCACAAGGAAGTCAATGGGTGTTCCTTATGCAAAATCTTGCTCGTCGGCCTGGCGGACCCCCTTCTGTCCACATCACAGGTGTTGATGATTCCCAATCAGCTCATGCACGCGGTGGTGGACTTCACCTAGTAGGCGAAAGGCTAGCGAAAGCTGCTGCATCATGTGGAGTGCCTTTTGAATTCCATGCTGCTGCTATATCGGGCTGTGAGGTTCATCTAGAAAACCTTCAAATGAGACATGGAGAAGCCTTGGCAGTTAACTTCCCGTACGTGCTGCACCACATGCCAGACGAGAGTGTAACCACTGTAAACCATCGAGACCGTCTACTCAGATTGGTTAAGAGCTTGTCCCCGGAAATAGTCACCCTTGTTGAACAAGAATCCAACACCAACACTTCTGCTTTCCTTCCAAGATTCCGTGAAACTCTGGATTACTACACCGCAATGTTTGAGTCAATTGCTGCAGGTCGCCCGGGGGATGACAAGCAAAGGATCAATGCAGAGGCGCATTGTGTGGCACGAGACATTGTCAACATTATAGCATGCGAGGGGGCTGACAGAGTGGAAAGACACGAAGTTTTTGGAAAGTGGAGTATGAGACTTACAATGGCTGGATTTACTCCATGCCCCTTGAGTCCATCAGTTGGTGAAGCCATCAACGGCGTGTTGAAAGAGTTCAGCCCAAATTATCGACTTGCAGAGAGCAAAGGCGCGCTTTATCTTGGATGGAAGAACAGAGCTTTAGCGACTTCTTCAGCTTGGAGATGACTGTCGTCTAAGGTGTAAATCTCTCCCTACATGATCTTCGTACACCTTTTTGATTTTACGAGATGTAGGACAAACGAAAATCTTAGGCGTGTACATGTCAACAACATTGGAAATGAAATAGTGAACTCTGAAATAGAATTGTGCATCTACACATTTATGGACATGGATTTAGCAGAAAACATCTATACTAAGTTGGACATTGGAAATGTTCTTGCTTCTTTTGCTCTCTATGTTTTATCTCTTTTTTGAATTATGAGTTTGTATCTATAATTGCATCAAGGCTTACTACTTGTGTCAAACAGTTACAAAATAGTAGTGAATATCATATCAAGTTTTGATTCTTTGGTTGTCCCGTAGATCCTTTATCTATCTATATGAAGAACGAATCATGTAACGTAACGAAGGGGATTCTTGTCTGTACAAATAGCATTTCGTGCTTGGAACGAGCATGAAAGAACGATACTTCTTTATCTTTTGAGTGTTTTGCTAGATGGATTGAGAATGATTCTGATCTAGTTCATGGTCTCTATCATCATAGAAGGAGCTACAAATCATTTGCGCTCTCTTATCTGAAATAGCTAACTTTCGGGTGTGAGTGGGGCCCAAGGTTATTGGTATCAGAGCCAATAAATAGCTAATTTTCAAGTGTGAGTGGGGCCCAATGTTATTGGTATCAGAGCCGATGTTCAACTCATGGAGCCAAGGCCTGGACTCGAAAGGGGTGCCAACCGTGACCAATGAGGTCAGTGGCTCTCCATTTAGCCTATGTGGGACACAGAGAGAATATTGTCGAGTGACATTGCTTCTTTGGCTTGAACCTAAGATTATGATTGTAATTTGTAGTAAACAATATTAGTGTTTATGGAAAAAAGGAGAAGCAATTTGTGATATATTATGGCACTTAATATTAACCAAGACAATATTTATGCAAACAAAAACATCTTATATTTGATTTAAACAAAATAAATATCAATGCAAAATGTATATAAAATTACACAATTTACATATATATACACATACAAAAAAAATGAAAAAAGAACAAAATTAAGAAAAGAAATTATTTATATATTGGAAAAGAAATTCTATTTTTTTTTTACAAAAAAAAATGATATATCAAAAATATATTCAAAGGATCTTTGATTTTCTCCCCTCTTGTATATACCTTCAATAAAATGTTCCAAGAATATTTGATTATTTCCTCTCTTATAAAATGTTATTGTTGTGATATTTTTTACAAGCTTTTCTGCATTCTTTTTGGCAATCAGTCAATGTGAAAACTCTAATTTGTAAGCATTCATAATAACATTGTGTTAGAGAATAATTCATATTATTGCTCTTATCAAGTTCTACATTTGTAGTTTTTGTTGTTGCATTTGTAGCCACAAATAGGCAAAAGATCAATATCAAAGTAAACATTTTACTGCTTGCCATATTTGTAATTAACAACAAATTAGAGAAAAATAATATTTTTTTTGTGTGTGTGAATTGAGTGTGTATATATATATATATATATGTTTTGTGTATTGAGAAGAAGGAAAAAGAAAGATTTTCTTTTTTCTTCTTTCTTTTCCCTTCTTCTTTCTCTATGAAAGAATTACTTGTGTTTTTTATATTAAAAAATGAAAATGAAGGGATTTGTTTATATAGATTATTTTTTTTTGAAAATAAAAAAAAATGTGCAAAATTTGAAGCCCAAAGAAATGAATAGTGTATTTGTTACAAATTTTTCTATGGTTTAAAAAGAATGTGATGGAGAAAATACATTTTATTTGGCTCACATGAAATTTTGGAATGCCAATAATAAATAGTGTGTTATATATAATTAATTCTTCGAATTTTGAGTTATAGTTGTTGGGGAGTTGTAACCTACTAGGGTCACAACTTTTTCATCTAAATACATTAGAAAATAATATCCTCCTATCATTTAAGAATTGCAAAACATATTTTTCGAACCATTTATGTATTTTGATTAAGCAGGAGGGGATGTTGAAGATAGGATTATAAATTAGAATGAAATCATAATAAAATAGTCGTACCGAAAGGTGTGGCCTAATAGCCAACTAAGCTGCGTAGGAAAGGCCCAAAGTTAATCCCAAAGAGATAATAATGAAGTTTCATAGGATCTTTTTGTCTAAGATGTTTCTAAATGTTTTTCAAGTTTTTACTCGTAAAACTTGAACTCTATTTTTATGTCCAAATAAAACTTTAACTTCTAAATATCCTTTGTCATGTAATAAATAATACTTTTTTTAAAAATTCAAATTTAAATCAAATCATATTGAAACGCCTAATAAGACAGAAACAAAGGGCAGGTTAAAGCACAGAAATTGAATTATACAAAACTGGGAACTCCAAAAACAGTTTTTAAAAAATGTACTTCTCCCATTGAGATCATTTACATTTTCTAAAGAAATAGTTGTTCCTATAGATCCAAGAGAAAGCTGTACTTCTTTCTTCAACCAACAAGAAACTGAATTACATCATGGGAGAAGTGATATTTAACATGTCTTGGACTTAAAATAGGAATTGTTTACTTTTTTTCTTTTTGTTTCCCACTCGGTGTCCAGTATCAACATTGGGGCGCGAGTAAATATGAATTCACGCCAAGAAGTCTCACATTGAAGGGTAAGCCGCTCCCTAACAGAAGTGACTTCATATTTGATTGTTTTACTTAAGATGAACAACATCCACCTTTCTTTGTATCTGCAACTGTATCTTCATTTCCTTCATCAGCCTGCAAAACCACAGACTTACCATTTGCTAGCCGCCCCGAGTCCTTTTTCTGGAGCTCTTGAGATTGAATGACTTTTCTGCTCAGAATATTATAGATCTCCCTAACAACTGTCTGGAAAGCAGACGTTACATTCGATGAATCCAAAGCTGAAGTTTCGATGAAAAATAGACCTTTCGCCTCAGCCAAGGCTTTGCCTTCCGCTGTTGTAACTTCCCTGGCGTCTTTGAGATCAGACTTGTTGCCAACGAGTATTATAACCACATTCATGTCCGAATGAGCTGTTAAAGGAGTAAGATATAAGTCAAAAACGATGCTATCAAGTAAGTAAAAAGATCCTGAAAATTGAAGCTGTCATGTATGTTGCTTTATTTTATGAGCAATTCCAGGGACAAGTACATCAATGATACATGCTATGTTGCTTGGATTCTTACAATTTCAAAGAGTCCGAGCAGCATAAGACAACGGTGCCTTTCAAACAATCAAACCAACCCAGAGAATCATATGGGAGCACAATGCATAATCCAACAGATGAACTTAATGTACCATAGGCAAAAAAGATTATGAGTTAATGACATGGAATAATCTCTATTGATATGAAATTCTCAACAATAACATACCTAGTGTAATCCCACAAGTTGGGTATAGGGAGGACAAACCTTACCACTACCTTTGGAGGTAGAGAGGTTGTTTCCGGCTTTCCGCTAGACCCTTGGCTCAATGAAAAGCATATCAAAGCCGATCGAAAACAGAATAACTGAAGAGAAGGGATCATGGCAAAACACTACAGAAATCATGATAAAACATTTTGAAAAAAAAAGAATAGTAACTACAACAAAAGTGCGATAATCGAAAATCGTTGGACAAGAAGTTACATGAGAAATAGTACGACTACTAGTATGGGAGGGTAAGAGAAAAAATGTTCTACTACCTACTAACCTACTACCTAATTATCCACTATTGAGCTATATTGAAACAAAATCCAGTGCAGACCTTCCTCAAGTACCTTAAACGTGGCTATTTCAAACTAAAATGAGAAAACAAACAAGTGAATTGTCAAACAAATATAAACTAAAACAAAAAAATAAATCAAAGAGCATACTGCTTACTCTGAAGCTCGTTAAGCCATCGATCAATGTTATCGAAAGTCAGGCGCCTACTAATATCATAAACCAGAAGAGCTCCAACTGCACCTCTGTAATATGCAGAAGTAACTGCTCTAAATCGTTCTTGACCAGCCGTATCCCATATCTGCGCTTTAACCTCCTTCCCATTTATGTTTATCTTTTGAGTCTGAAATTCTACTCCAATTGTCGATTTTGAGTTTGGATAGAATTCATCTCTAGCAAATCTAGCAAGCAAATTCGATTTACCAACTGCAGAATCACCAATCAATACAATCTTGAAAAGGTAGTCCTCTTTTTTTTCTTCCTCGGAATTGTGTGCCATCTTCTTCACCACATAAAATGGGAAGCTAGAACATCATAACTACTTATTTATGCCGAAATAAAGAAAAGTAAAGAATGAACAGGTATAGGCCCTTGGAAAAAACTTCAAAGGCAGGGGTCGGCTACAGAAGGAAACAGCAAAAGTAAAGAAGAAAGAAGTCTCAGAGGTAAATGTTCTATCAGGAGATGAGGAGTGGTGGAAAAATATTCAAAGTGGACTTGCAAAGCACCATGAACTAAAACTTCCCTCCAGTCACTGTAGTTACTTCTTCGAGTTCAGATTCAGTCCTAAAAGGAAAGTGATGACTTTCAAATATCTACACAAAAGCAAAGCATCAGAAACTTAAAGTTCAGCAAAGAATGAAGTGTCCCACCCTGTGCTAAGCTCCCACTCCCTTGCTTCTTGCCGTCAAGTATTAAGCTCAAAACCTGAAAGCATATGATGGAAATCAAGCAATCTGAAATTTCGTGGAACTTGGAAAATTAAGTTTTAGATTTTTAAATGACGTCGTCAACTAGCATGGGATTAAGGTGTAGTAGTTGTTGCTGTTGTAGTATTCTAAAGGTTACATACGGGTTGATTTATTAGATGGTCACTCAACTAATATTATTATCTGAGAAAGTCACCTTTATTGTTGATTCTAACTTATTTCAACAAACAAAGTGACTTTCTGAGATAACAACTATTAATTGAGTGACCATTTGAACAATCAACTTGATGACATATTTAAGAACAATCTTTTGGACCTAAAGAAGTTCCCAAAACTCATCTAATTTGCTATAGATTTTACCAGATTATACCATGTTACGTTACAAACTATTGCTCAATAAAGTCTGTGAAAAGACAAACAATAACCAACACAGTTTGCATGTGTCTTTTTGGTGAGTAGGGAGAGACCCGTCACCTTCTCCGAAAATAAAGTAAAAAATCTCAGTAGATGGGAAGGATGCTACGACCATAGAACTGTTGGTGCTGTAAAATTTCATTAACTATCCGAAGACTATTAAATTGCTTACATTAATGACTAGAAGTTTATACATGAGCTATAATTGATTGAAGAATCATGAAGTTCAGCATTGTACAGTTCACTACATTTCGTCCTCTTTCCAGTATAACTGAAAATATTAGAGATTTAAATTGCAGTATTGTAAGGTTTCTGTCAAAATAAAAGGCTGCTCGTGTTGTTGTTGTTTTCATGTGCAAATCAGCCATAGCTGACAACTCACACAAAATTGGCACTTGTAATTCTGGAAACATACAGCAACAATAACATACCCAAAGTAGTCCCACAAGTGAAGTTTGGGGAGGTAGTGTGTACTATATACACAGCCTTACCCCTTACTTTGTGAAGGTAGAGAGGTTGTTCCCGACAGATCCTTGACCTGAGTAGCAGATATATAAAAACCAATATGAAAAGGACTCCACCACTTTTAAAAAAGACCTCTATGAAAGTTAGAATGCCCACCACTTCTAGTTCCTCTTGGACACTCCATTTTAAGCTAAAGCCAATTCGACCAACAGAAGTTCTATCTCCCACTAACTGCATTATTTGAGATTCATGGTGTCTGGACAACTTACGTACACCTTGACAATGATTTAATAATTTACAAGTTCCTGCTACCTTCCACCAACACGTAACAAGTAACTCAGTCGACTTAGTCATAGACATATAAGAAAATATCACTTAGTTATCATTCAAGCCTTATTTCCTAATGTTGTCACTCCAACATCTTCACCTGCCGGGGCAATCCCTTTGCGAGTACTACTTTGGTATGAATACCACATAAGGGAAAACGGAGCATAATCTCTCTATTGCAATTGCCCTGGATTACAAGTACATGCATCTTTCTATGAAATTTAATCAAATCAATTAACTACACCTCAATCCCTAACACTGGTATGCTATATAAATCTTTCTCTTTTGATCATTCATCAAAGATTTCGTAAATGCTTGCTCTAAGCCAGTGTGATAACACATAATTATAGATTGTCGAGACCTCATATTGTATCCAAAATTGCATCAACACCGGGTACAATAACCAGGTTGGCCATATAAATCTTGTATATCATTCGTTCTGTTTAGGTCTATTTCATTCCAATATGTCCTTTATGGGATATGAAGGGTTCTATAAATCTCTACTTACCTGTAGAAGGGATAATTAATTCCAATTAGTTTGTATCGTTAATATAAATCATTTGTTACATGACTCTCTGTAATTAGCAAATTTCGTCCTTCCTATAACAAAGACTTAATATCATACCAATAAACAGAAAGTGCAACCTTCTGCAAGTAGTTAGTATCCCCAAAAATGGCTAACAACAACAACATACTTGTGGAATGAGGTCTGGGAGGTTGAGATGTACGTACAACTTACCCCTACCTTTATGTGGTCGAGAGGTTGTTTCCATAGACCCTCGACTCAAAACAAATGTAATCAAAGCATGATAGAAAGAAAACAACGACAACATAATAGCAAAGATAAATGGAACAAATGAAACAGCAGGTAGTGAAAATTAGTAGAATAAGATACTGCACATATACTAACTAATACTACAAGGCAAAATGGCTAACAAATAGTTCAATTTTTTGTGAACCTTCATTATGTAGTACCACATAATAATAAGGCTATTCAGGAATTTTTTTTAAAAAAAAACATGTCTAACTGATCTCTCCAAATTTATTTGTATAATGTTGCTCGGACTCTTAAAAATACCGATAAGTGTGTGCCACATCCTACAAAAGTTATGCACTTTGAAGGATCCGATATTGATACGACAACATTTTTAAAGAGCCGGCAACATATTCCTTATTTTTTTTTTTAAAAAAAAAAGGAAAAAAAACACCCTTACCTAGTCTCTTCAACCATGAACAGGAAAAGAGCCCCATCCACATGTAAATTACTTAAACAATTAAAAGGAAATTGACCTAAGATAGAAGAACAGTATCCTACATGTTTTCCTATATGGGACCCTTGTAGTAAATAATTTCAACAATAAGCTACACTGCATAAGTTGTCTCATCATGTCTAATAAAAAGAACTTTCAAAATATGTTGTATGACTAAAACAAGACAGACAATAATTACTAAGTCTGACATAACTACTTCTAGTGCAACATCTTTTACTCCCTCCATTTCAAAGAATTTAAGATAGCAAAAAAAAATTTTTGAATCTTATTACGAGTACCAAAATGTTCATTAATCTTGTGGAATTAAGAAGTTCTCAAAAAGGAAAGAGACATTTTTTTCACAAACACTAAAAACGAAAGTAAGACAAACAAATCAAAACAGCGAGTAACAATAACAACAACATCAAAGTTTGAGAAGGATAGAGTATGCACACACGTAGAGAGGTTGTATCTTGATAGACCCTCAGGACAAGTATTTCAAAGCCGAGAAAAGAAATAACAAAACTAAAGAAGCCAAAACAAAATAAAGATAGCATGATAAATATAATAAACTAAAACATAAGATTACTACAATGAAATTACAAAAAACAACGTACAGTAACATAAATCGAAACGGAGAGAGTAACACTTAACAATCATATAATTTTGGCATTTACCAATTTAAGATAAAAACAGACACATAATACTAAATACAATTAGCATCCACCACCCTTTTTTTAGGATATTCCTAAATCAACCCATATTTCCATTTCAAGGTGAAACAAAGAAAAACTGGGGGGGAAAATCAATCTTTATCAGTTTCTAGCTAAAAAAAATGCAAATTTAACTAAACAATGATAATTAGAAACTAATATAAAAGAGAATTGGGTAATAAAGATTCAATCTTTATGACAAAAGGCACATACCCAATTCTTTATAATGATCAAAATGCTATATTCCCTTATCAATCTATCAAGTGGTGTGATCAAATCAAGAACCAGATCAATGAATCAAACAGCTCTAAAAATGGGGTAATTTGAAAATTTTGTTAGAAAAAAACATAGGAATCAAATGATTATGTTTTTGGGTTTTGGAGAGATTAAGGAAAATTTCAAGATTCAGGCAAGATGGGAGAAGGAGAGAGAGAGAGACACCAGATTTACAGCATTTGTTACACTATACAATGGTGAACAGATGGCAGCAATAAATGGGCTTTATTTAGCTAATGGATATATATTTGTGCTCCAGTCCAAACCAAAATATATTGCTGACTCGAACTCAGCGGCGAAGCTAAAAATTTCATAAAGGGATTCAAAATAGCAATTTATTATGTTAAGAATATTTAAAATATGTTATTTAATTATTTCATGTGTCAATAATTTTTCGACGACGAATCTCAATTGAACACCCTTCCTGCCATGTGGCTATGTCACTGCTCTTGATTTTAATTTACGTGACACCGTTCATCGAAAACAAAAATAAAGGAAAACAGACCTTTTTTAGGTTTGGTCTTATTAAAGCTTAGTTTAGTGTATGGTTTTAATTGATTTTTCTTCATAATAAAGTGTTATTGATAAAAATAAAGATGATGTTGTTAAATAGTTGTCAAAATAACATTAATTTGGAAAAAACTAAAAAAGAAAAAGCGTCACATGAGTTGACTAAATATAAAGCCTCATTTGTGCTATGTAAGAGAAAAAATTGTAATTGTTATTTTGCATTTAGATTTTTAGAAAATAGCAAGGTTTTGCTTAGTTAAAAATATCGAAGTACTTTTTTATTTCAAAACGTATTATAATAAATTATATCGGTGTGCATAAATATAGTGAAATATATTATATTTGTGTGCATTATAAGTATCTTGTATATGAGTTCGAAATACACTACATCTACATGCATAACAATAGTAAAATGCATCGTATCATTTTTCTTAATAAGTGTGTGTATATAAATATACCATATCTCTATCTAACTCTTTTCGTATGAGTAATAATTATATCTATATGTATCTAATGTATCTACGATAATTTCAAAAAACCTAAACACCATCTATTTAAAGACAAAAATTAAAGACCATCGTAATTTGAGATTCACATGCCAAAAACCAATTAGCCAAAGCCAAATTTTTTGTTTTATTATCGTTGATTGGGATACTATTTTCTTTTATTATTAAATCTATCTAATGTTCAAAACATACTTAGATCATTTAATTCAGATATGATCCATGTAGGGCTCATAAAAAGAGTGTTCTCCCTATACATATACAAAGAAATTAATTGTGTAATTCATTATACACATACAAAAGAAAATAGTTATATACATCCAAATCAATTGTATAATTTGTGTGTGTATAAAACAATAAAGAGAGAAAGATAAAAGAAAAGAGACAAGGTAATATTTGTATTATATAATTATAAGTGTATAAGACGAAAATATATGTATTTACAAGTGTAAATAAAATTTTCTTTCGCTTTATACAAACAGAAACGAATTTATACATTTCGTTTTTGTTTGTATAAGCGATAGAGGCGAGGGTGGCGAGCGAAATTTGAAAAAGAGGAGAGAATTTAACAAAAATATATGTATATATACAAAAAAAATTCGCTTTATACAAACAGAAACACATTTTATACACTTGCTTTTGTATAAAAGTGAGAGGAAGCGAGCGAGAGAGGGAGAGTGGCGAGTGAAAGTTTGAGGGAGAGAGGTGATTGACAAAAAGTTTGCTACAGGGCACAATTAAATCAAAGTATGATTATGACATTTAATTTGATTTGTTAGTTTGCTATTATATACAATTTTCCCAATAAGTAATGATGCACAAATGTCGCATCAAGAAAATAAATTTAAATTGCTAAAAAGAAATGGATGAACACACATATACAAAATATTTAATTTTTGTTTAAATTAATTGAACAGAAGTGTCAAGATGGCCGAGTTGGTCTAAGGCGCCAGTTTCAGGTACTGGTCCGAAAGGGCATGGGTTCGAATCCCATTCTTGACAATTTATTTTTGTAATTTTTCTTATGTCATGTTGAGAAAATTAATATGCATGCATCTTATTTGTTTTCAAAATATTTAAACAACACACACACTTAAATGGAAAACATAGCCAAATTATGAATCTAGCTTTTGAACAAGGAAGTCATTAGGTCGAGGATACATCTATCTGAACAGGTTGCTCCAAAGTCATTAGGTCAAGGATAAGTCATAACATCAATAGTAATATTCAATTAACGATTCTAGTATCTAAACCATCTTGCGTGCACCTCGTTTGTTCCATCAAATACCTACTACTAGGTACATCCCTAGCTACTTTGCCTTGTTTAAATGGTGCATATTATAAATAATGTGCATCTTTGCTGCCCTTGCATTTAGACTGATAGGTATTGTAACATGATGTGGCACTACACAGAAAGCAGACCTGGTTTAACTTTGACAATTCTGAGAAAAAGACCGAGTCATTTGTATTGGCACTAATGTCACTCAAGTTGAGCAAAACTGAGAAGATTACATTGATAAATGATTATGCATAACTAAAGTTTCATCTTCCTCCTATATTATCATGATAACAACATAAACCAGCGGGCATGACGTCTTTACTGGTCCCTTCTACACAAATCACCTCGCGTCCAAGTTGTTCAACTAATTCTCTGTAGTTTTGATATCCACTTTCGGGTCCAAATTCAACGTATGTAACTAGCCTTAGCATGAGAGTCGAGGCACTACAAAAAATTTCCATGTATGTAATGTGGTTAAGTACAGGAATAATAGAAGGAAGGGGAAGGGGTGGGAGCAATATGTCATATCAAAGCATCAAAAGAAAATGGAAAATTATGGGAGGAATTGATTTGAGATGGTAAAGGAGAAAAAAACAAAACACCCCTAAACTATACCTGGATTCTTCGAAAGAAAAAAAAAATACCCCGGATTCTCTGTTACACACTACTATACTTTGCGAATCTCCTGACATTTATAACATCTTTTATTAAATTATTTCTTACTGTCTTGTTTTCTTTTTCACTAGAGCTTCTTTTGTTTTCGTTATTACATCATAGACCAGCAGTCCAGCACGATGCCACAACTACCTTTGCCAAAGGCAAGATCTTTTCTCCTCCACCATCACCTAAACCATCAAACCTCTCACCACCACCATCATAAAACAAACAGCACAAAGGAGCATCAACTTATGTTTGTTTTCTATTAACTACATCCTCGAGGTCTTTATATTTATCCAGCAAATCATCCAAAATGCAATTTTATCACAAGGGCCCAAGGAAAATGAGCTTAACCTCATTCCCCATTATTGCATTTTGCCCTTCCCAAGTCCCAAATTGTTGTTGCTCCCTTCGTTGGATGTAGCTATTAATTTGTCCCTTTACCTCTTTTGTAATGCAGGATGTATCAACCTTAATTACCCAAGGTCAAATAAATTGGAAATTTACGGGTGGAAATTTAATTGAGATCCGAGGAATGAATGAAAGATCAAAAGCAAAGATTAAATGAGCAGAGTAACTAAGATACGGAAACAAAACCAAAAGAAAAGACCTTACCAAAAAATTGTTCTGATGTATGCGTACAATGAGCACATTCAGCTGTCTCTGCTTTTAGATCTTTTTGATTTCTTAATATGATTTTCAGATTTCAGCTTTCCCTTGTAGGGTACTAAGTTATCTGGCTCAAGCAATTCAGCAGCCCTTTTGTTGCCTATCCTCTTCTCCGTAATGCTGTAGTATCAGAAAAATGCATGAGGCGGAGTGATGGAATGAAATAAGTGAATAGAAACTTCACAGTTAGCAAGCAAACCTGTAAGCTTGAGACTCTTCTGCTTTCGTTTCCAACCATTGAATATTTCCTGTGTTATCTGGAATTAATGACCCACACATATGTAGTATCTCTTCATCAAAACTACAAATAAAGAGCACGACATCAAGTCTAATTCATCCTTTATGTGATTAAAAAAACAAAATATCACCTCGTAAATTACACCTCTTTAGCTATTACAACAGTTCGAAGTTATTAGTTATATGACTCTCCCTTGATTCATCAAGTCATATTTATGCACCATATTCTTAAATCTCACGATCTCTTTCTCTACAACAACAAATATGCCTAGTATGTAATCCCACACGTGTGGTCTGAGAGGGCAGAGTGTACGCAGAACTTCAGACTGCTAAATTGAACCAAATAACTGCATATATGCTTCTGTTCTTTCTTTGTTTTATATTACTTCTGGTATGTATCAATCCCTATTTTAGAGGAACACAGGAAAATAATTTCCAGTGCTCAATAAAAAATTTGAACGAAAATCTTACTTCTTAACTGAGAACCGTAGAGTAGTTCCCACTTTGATCCTGTGTTTCTTGTTTGATCTGCTAACAAAAACTTCTTTCCCGTGTTTCTATGAAAAGAGAAACATATTCAAAGACAAATCAGTATCAAATCTATATCTCAACTCAAGGTTTCATTAGTTCAAAGTGCTTACAATTTTATACTTGAAATCTTCTCGAATGTCCTCATCTGCTATGACAGCCGAAGAAAAACCAAGAACAACTATGTGAATAGACTGCTGGCCAACTTTAACGACCTCACCTTCTGAAAAGATCAATATCGAAAGTAGGATTAAAGAAACAAAGTCCATCCAAACAAATTTACCATATTTAGGGGTTGTTTGGTACAGTGTATAAAAATAATGCTAAATAAAGTGTATTAGTAATGCTTGCATTAGTTATACAAAAATTATTTCTTATGCATTGTTTGGTTTAGTGTATAAAAAATATCCTTCACAATTATGGTGAAAAACATGTAAAGGGGTTTTTAAGGGATATTGGGACTTTCACAATGCTAATGCATGCATTAAATCCTTTTGCATTACTGATACCTAGAAATCTATGGTATTAGTACACAATAGGGCGTATAACTAATGCTAGGCATGAAAACGTGTACCGAAGACATTATTTTTGCTAAGACACTCTACCAAACGCCCCCTTAAATATTTATATCGCTAGGGTGGGAGTTGAGCTTTGAGTTTTTGAAAAAGGGAAAACAATGAGGTGGTGAAATTGAAAAAAATTACGCTAGTTTAGCATTTACTCCAAGAACAAAAAGCCTGGAAAGTAACTGAGCTACAGTACACTTTTACAAACAAAAAGAACTCAGTTGCAGGACTACCTAATAGCATTTCTGGCTTTGGATTAAAAAGTAGCAATTTTGCT